AGTGCCAATATCTATTACAGATCCATCAGTATAAAAATTAAATTGGGATTGTGTAGAATTGATAACTGAAAATTGCTTAAGCTTAGATGTTGATTCTCCTGGTGCAAAGATTTGAGAAGCAATAGATTGGTTAATAAGAATTAGAATTCAATTTTTTGTCGTTGGTAGGAATTGAACTCTGGATGTGCCACTTGAGGGGTGACAACTTGACCACTTCACTAAGTCACCACACCCCTTGTAAATGAGTTTATCTTTTGATCAGAAACACTATAGATTTAGATTTCTTTATATGTCAATATAAAAATGAAAGTCTGTTCTCATAATAAAATAAACAGAATTGCTAAAGGAAAAAAAAATCTACTAATATAACAATATGGGCTAGGTGCTGAAAAAAAGGACGAAATTGACAATTTTTTCAAATAATATTTTTTTACATAAATCAATTTAAAATAAGATTAGAATCATTTTTTACTTAAGACATAAAGGTAGTTGTATTAATAAAATTTTGTGGTATAGCTCTTTAAATTTGATATTTCCTTATGATTTATTATAAGATTTACAGCATAAAAATTGATTTTCCGAAGATCTTTTTTTTTTGTCGATTTCGTCCCTTTTCTCAGCACCTAGTCCATATATTCAGCACCTAAAAAAAATATATAATTATATATTTTTTAAATTTACTAAAACTTGGGACTTAGTTGGAACATTTTGGAACATTGGGACATTTTGGGACATTGGGATATTGGGACGTTGGGACATAGCAAAAAAGCTTGGGACAGTAAAAATGTACAACACTGCTCCTGTGACAAATTGAAATCACACCACCGTGCCCCAACCCTAGTTAGGGGGGCTTTTACTTAATTATGATTTGGTGCTACGATAACGATAGATGTAAGTTTTTGACGATATTCAAGTTGATTGGCTGATATAAATCAAAAAAAAAAGAAGAGATTCGATCGTCGAATAGAAAGTGTTGTAAAGAATAAATATAATAATAAATTTGCATTTAAATATTTTGACAATTTATTATAACGACAAGCTATCGTTACATCATCGATTGTATATTTATAACAATACCAGTATCAAATTTACATAAGTTGCTGTTAGATTTCGGATCAAACTTTAGATTTGGAATTCCGTTTCAACATAAGTAGAAGAATGTTGTCCTTAAGATCTAGAGCAGCAAATCTCGTTCACAAAACTACTGTTCTCACATTTGTTGGTCTCACAGGTGGGCCTTTACTTCACGTGTTCAAAAGGACCCGCACGCATGTTAAATAAAAATAAAAATGTTTATATCCATTTATTATTAATAGTCTTCGGCTTTGTAGAGGTAGGTATACTGTTCAATCGAAGACTTGTACAAAGTAGAGAATTAGCAGCGCGACGAGAATTGGTTTGTAATTCGTTATTCCTTTTGATATCTTTGAACATTCTTCAAAATTCTATCTCAAATTATAACGTCTGTTGTCTGCTTTCGAAAGAACAAATTATCTCAGGAAATATCATCGGAATCTACGTCTTCTAGTATAGATGACGATAATAAATCAAAGTGATTAATTGGATTCATTAGTTGAAATTCAATGGTCGAATTCAATGACTGAATTCGCATGTAATAAATTATTTTTTTCATGGCAAGTGGATGTCAATACTATGAATATTTCGAGGCTGATTTTGTCATATTCTCCGATATCTTTACCGAATCCCTAACTTGATTTATTTTCTCCGAAATCTTTACCCAAATCCAACAGGAGCGACCGTTCAAATTCGTAGATGATTTCAATTGATTGTCAACCAATCGTATCTCAAATTTTAGCAAATCGGACAGAGATTCAAAAAAATATGTTATAGGGCGAAGCAAAAATATCAATTCATCCGTTGGATTTACTCTCATTTCATAGAAAATTAAGCTACCCGAGCTTTTAAAAAAAGTATTGTAAAATGTATAAAAAAAGTTATTTACCAATCGTGTAACCATATCGGAATCATCTATGAATTTGAACGGTCGCCCTTATTCCCAAATCCCTAACTTGATTTATTTCTTTTAGTATCACAAGTGCAACGTTTGTACACTGTAAAGCACTTGTACATACTGATTAAAATTTTCGATATTTTATTATTTACTTTGCTTACAGTTTGTGACAATTTAAGATATAAAGAACAATGTGTTTTTGATTTCGGAAATTTTATCATTCGTTCGAAATCAGTTTCGCATAAACTTTCCTGAAAAGAGATCCAAAGCTCCTATAAATTTTCAATTAACTAAATTTCCAAAAATTTTTTTTTAAGAAAGAATCTAAAATTTCGTAAAAAAATAAACAAATTCGTTCAGTATTTATATCCAATCAAACTTCTCCTTCCAATCATTTCTCCAAGTGCAAAAAATCCAAAAACTTCCACAGATCGTATAGCAATTCTAGCCGCTTCTCTAAGCCCTATTTCTGTGATATCTCTTAGTCGAATAGATTGTAAATCCGAAAAAGCTTGCGAGATTTCTGATATTGTTGGTGGACGAAGACCCTCTTTAATGTATACTTCTTTCGCCAATTCTTTGATCACGAGGGTATTATAAATAATCGGTTTTCTATATTCTTTTAAATTAGTATTATGTCAATCATTAAATAATTATACGTTTGGAAATTTATCATTTAAACTTAAAATTTAATTTAACAAAGTGGCTAAACCGTTAAGCTAATCTATAACTAAATACCTGCAAATTTTGACAACTTTTTAGTAACTGAACTAACCGTTGTTGCATTACGCACATATAAGGCTCGAAATTCATTTTGAGCTTTCTGAGTAAATCTAAAGGTTCTCATAAAAATTGGGAATACCATTTTTAATTTTAAAGGTAGATGTTATTCTGAACCATAAAATTTTTATAGATAAAAAATCATTTCCACATATGTATCGGTACGCAAAGATCTGTGTTACTAAGCCTCCTGAACTTTTTCTTCGATAGAATGGATTAGTGGCGAAACCAAAATTCCAGGTCAAAATCCATCGGAAGGGTCGGCAATGTCCAAATTCCGAGTCGGAATTCATCAGAATCATGATCGGATGAGTCAAATTAGCTTATTCCTAACGCTAAGTAAAATGCAACTGATAATTTTGCTAGGTGTAGTCGACCAGTATTACTTAATGTGGGGATTGTCTGTAAAAAGAATGCCACATTACAGTGTATATGCGAGTAAATATTATCGTTATCTAATTGTCTGCGCGTAGACAATCAAATGTTTTTTCCGTGATACATGTAAAGAAAGAAAAATTATATATTGACTAAGTAATCGGACTCGTATTTTTGGTTTTAAATAACAGTTTGCAACTTTACAGCTTATTTATATTGTCGAAGTTAAAAGTTACCAAAATATTGACCTTGTCAGAAATTATTGAGATAGTAAGGAAATTTGATACATTGTCACACTATGTACTTGATACCATCTATAAAAATATTTTATTAAGATAAATTATCTTTAATTTCAATCTCCTTCATAAAACACTAGATATGCAAATGCAAAAATATGTATAATTGTTATTTTTGATTATCAAAGTAATGATACGAATAAATCAACATGAGAACCTTGATTTTTGAACTGACCTGGTAATTCATTTCCGGGGAAGAAACGTCGTTCTAAACCGTCCTCCGTGATAATGCCAATTCTAACGCATCCGCCTGATGAACCATCTCGTGACATAGCCAAGGTAACAGCTGCACATAGGTAAAATTGTTTTTATCAAAAGTTAAAAATAATCAACTAAAGACGTTAATGGCCATAGTCAATTGACCTTTTTTATAATAATGTGACCATTATTGATTACTGGTCTCATCTTAAGGAACTAATTGATTTTGTCAATTAATATCCCTATAATAAACTAACCATTTTTCACAAATTCTACGGCTTCTTCCTGTGACATATTCTTCCTAAAGTTAGCATCACAATAACCATAAATGAACGAAGATCCACTACCTAAGAGTTATATTTATAAAAATATCGTAATTAATGAAAATGGAATTCAGAGGAAGCTGAAATAATTACACGTACCTCCAATTGTGAATGGCTGCTTATGCAATGAACCACCTATCGGAATACTATATATAGTACCACCATTGTGTTTATCCCATCCCGCAACAATAATTCCAGCTAGCAGATAATCCTTATTCTGGTAACACAGCTCTTGGAACAAGGCGGCTGCAGTTTGTACCGATGGAGGTTCGTTATGCGAAACTCTGATTCATAAATTCATAAATTGATTTAAAATTCATTACATTCAAATATAGAATTCTTGCTCTCTTTTTATATATAATACTTACGCATACATCTGTAAATAATAACGGACGAGATCAGCGATAAATTGCGTATCTGCGGCGCTTCCAGACCGACAACAATATATTTTGTCATGAACTGGAGTTAACTTGTCAGTAACACGATTGGAGATGTAAGAACCTATGGTGGTACGGCTATCCGCTCCGATGACCACACCACCCTTAAACTCAACGGCCATAGTGGTCGTCTAAAAAAAAAAGATGCATATAGATATATGTGATAATTTTCTTTTACGATCCCTAAATTTAGTTTGTTCCACATTATTAAAATTCTGACGGCAATTTTAAGTAATCGCTTTACTGTCGCAAATTAAAAGTACCAAAAGTGCCCAAGTCGTCACAAAATATTAAATCATACCAACCCCCAAGTTAACTTCGTTAGGTTTCAATGACATTATTTAAACTGTAAAAGTTTGTTAATGAAACTTTAGATTTCCATATGTATCTTTATTTTAGAGCTGATCTGTGTAACGTCGATCGTGTTTTTCATTTTGACTCATGATAATGACCCAAAGTACGGTCAAAAAATGTTTATTAGATTATCCTCGTTTTTTTCGGTTTTTTTGTTGTTCACCACGCAATAAAAAAAGACTTATGTCGAATACAACTCACTCCTCGGTTGTCGATACAACAAACCGTTTGAAGAAATTACGTGAATTATTCAGCAATTATGATATTACAGCTTAGTACGTATTTCTTTGTATTTAGCAAAAAATGGTCGTCTAAACTTACCTCAAACATTGAAACTTTTTTAGCATAATTCCTTCAGAAGACTCTCACCAGGTACAAAATTCCTTCTTTACATAAAGCTCTCCATTATGTAATTTGTTCTTTATGCAGGTTTTAAAGTATTCAATAGTCTGCCTGCGCATTCTATTTATTTTATTATTCATTATTATAAATTCTAGAGTGAATATGTTGCAGCCTGTGACGCTCGAAGGTCTTTCATTTCTGGCTTCACGGGTTCTGCGGGTAATTCGCCTTACAACGCGTATATTTGGCATATAATTCAAAATTCATCAAATGACACTGTAAAATATATTTTCTTTTTAGGATTGGCTGTAGTATCTAATGATGCTGCTGCACTTTTTACGGATGGTAGATATTTTCTCCAAGCGAGTAAACAATTGGATTGTAACTGGACATTGATGAAACAAGGTTTGCCAGATGTTCCCACCTGGCAAGAGTATTTAGTGCAAGTGAATATTCATTTTATTTATAATTTATCATTATATCAATTTAGAAAAAAAAATAAATTCACGTACACATATTATTCGTGTTTATAGAATCTTCAAAAAGGTTCAAAAATAGGAATTGATCCCACATTAATTACCTCACGTAAGCTTTATTTTATTCATTTAACCTTTTAATAATGATATACTAGCGTTACACAGACTTTATAATATATATTCATGTTTTTAAAGCTGATGCTAGAACATTATCCGAATCTCTGGAGAAAATTGGCTCTTGTTTGATACCTATCGGTCAGAATCTAGTTGATTTGGTGTGGGGAAATGAAAGGCCTCCACGTCCAACAAAGGAGGTTATAATATTAGAAGAACGTTATTCTGGTAAACATATGGTGTAATTAACATACGTTATTAATATGATTGATGCTTCCATTTAATAACTTGACTACATATAATTAGGGCGCTCTCACACTGATAAAATTGCAAATCTTCGTGGAGAATTCACTAAGGAAAATTATTACGGTTTTGTTGTTTCGGGTCTCGACGAAATTGCATGTCAGTAAAATTTTAATATTTTCTATTATATTTTTTATGAAGTCAACCTACTCGTGTAACATTCTTTAAATACGTGTAGGGCTCTTTAACCTTCGTGGCTCCGAAGTTGAATACAATCCTGTATTCTTTTCCTATTCACTTATCACTAAGGATGAAGCTATTCTTTACATCGACGATCGTAAATTAAACAAGGAAGTCAGAGATCATCTGGGACCTGATGTTAAATACCGACCATACGATGCAATATTCGAAGATTTGCAAGAACATTCTGTCAAGTTGAAAAACGATAACCAGGTTGCAATTCTATTCGACTTCTTTACAATGTCGTTTCCTGTCACTTTCGGTTGTTTCCTAATCGTCATTTTTAATCTTAAGGAACTCCTTATAAGTACTCGAACAAGCTGGGCTATAGCTAGAGCGGCCGGTGAAGTATGTATTCTCTTGAAACATTTTTGAGTTACCTTTTTATAATTATTTTAATCAAACTGTAATTAGGACAATATTGAAGAAACTCGTTCACCGGTCACTGATGCCAAGGCAATCAAAAATGAAGTCGAATTGGAAGGCATGAGACAATGTCATTTAAGAGATGCTTGTGCATTAGTATGTATTTATACATGCATATATATATGCGTACTTATACTTTTCAAACCATGTTATGTGTAACCAATGGTTTTCAAATTCAACATTTATTTCTATATACTAGATCAATTATTTTGCATGGTTGGAAGATGAAATAGCAAATGGAAAAACTGTAACTGAAATGGACGGATCTATTAAAGTAGAACAATTCAGATCGTATGCACTCGTACTAATTTCATGGTTCGTTCGCTAATATTAAAAGTTTACTGAATTAGGACATTGTAAACCTTATTTTAGAGAACAGTCTGACTTTATGGGACCTTCCTTCGCTACCATTTCCGCATCAGGACCTAACGCTGCTGTTATACATTATCAACCACAACCAGAGTCTTGTGCCGTTATTGATCCGAATCTTTTATATTTATGCGACTCTGGCGGTCAATATAAGTAAGTCATTAACTATCTTTAAATAATTGTTTTCATATCTATTTATATATTATTTCTTGATTACCAGAGATGGAACCACTGATGTGACACGTACCATTCATTTGCGAAAGCCAACTGAACAAGAAAAGCGTGCTTTTACTCGTGTTCTTCAAGGACACATCGCTATCGATAGAGCTATCTTTCCTAAAGGAACTACTGGTAATTTTTTACGTTTTGTCCATATAAAATTTATAATTATAATTAATGGTGAATTTTTCTTGTTCTAAAATTTGTCTACTACAGGATACGTATTAGATGTACTTGCAAGAACTTCTTTATGGAGGGATGGATTAGATTATCGTCACGGAACAGGTCATGGAGTGGGATGCTTTTTGAATGTTCACGAGGGTAAGACTTAATTACATTTATGATTTGAGTTTGAATCGAAATAATATTCACAATTTATACATGTTCATTTAGGTCCACAAGGTATAGGTACTCGGATTGCGTTCAATGATGTACCACTTCAAGCGGGTATGACAGTAACTAATGAACCAGGCTATTATGAAGATGATAAATTTGGTATTCGTATTGAGACTGTCTTGTTTGTCCGCGAGGTCGAGACACCAAATAATTTTGGTGAACGAGGCTACCTTGGATTCGAACATATAACATATGTTCCTATTCAAACAAGTCTCGTGGATGTATCTCTCTTGAGTCCAATCGAGCACAAATGGCTCAATGATTTTAATGCTGAATGTCTACAAAAATTAGAACCTTTAATGACTCCAAATAGTCCAGGATTACGTTGGTTAAAACGAGAAACTGCACCATTAAATTAATACTTGTATTCAAGTAAAATATTATTATTGATCATTAAATCATTGTCAAATAATTTGATTTTTTTACGATGTTTAAATAGTTTTTGTTTATATCATTTCTTTTTAAACTAATGATATATGAGAAAAAAATTTGTAAAAAATTGATTTTTTATAAATTCTAATAAATTAAATTTTTTTAGAATTTTGTTTTATATACAGTATATATAATAATTATTTTTTTTTTATTTAAATTTTAAAGGTGAGGCCAGTATATATAATTATTGATTTTTTGTAATATAAACTAATTTTATTAGATAAGTTATATTTATAACATCATGTTATATAATATTTTATGCAATATCTCAAAAATATGCTAAGTAAATAGAATTAGGTACTCTAAATAAAAATGTTCAGAACTTCAAAAACCTTATAAAAACTGTAATTAGGACCTATTAGAACTTTATATTTAATAGATATTATATAATAAAAAACCTTTATTTATTTTAAAACTAGACTCTAACTCTAAGTAAAACTATATAGATGTTATAATAACAGTGTTATGAATATAATATTAATTTTATTAAAACAAAAAAAAATTTTTTTTTTTTATCTAGTATATTCTTGGTTAATAAGAGTACATTTTAGCCATACTTATGTTTTTTGAGCATCTAATTTAAGTAGTCTGCCTATTATTAGGTTTTACACTAGATGTTGTACTTATAATCCACTATTATTTGAGTTATTCAATTAAACTCTCTGATGTTCTTTATCTTGCATTACAATTATGCCAGTCTATAACCTTGTGCTGCTTCAATTAAAAGCCACCCAGATTGACATGTGCTATACTACTTGTATTTTAATTCTATAGATAACCTAGTAGAATTTTCATCCTACCAGGTTGTTTTAAAGAAGGTGTAGTATATACTCTTCTAATCTTTCTATATCCTACACATTTTCATATTAAGTTTCAAATATTTTCTGCAGCAGCTGAAATCACTACTAGCAGTCAGAGTTAACCATTAAACTGTATAATTTCAGTATTCAATACCTTTACAAAGCTTGTTTGATTCTAATATTCACATCAAACTAGTCTTTATACTGATTTCTCTCAAACTATTAAACTAGTTAGCCTAGATAGGTCATTATATCTAGACTTTAAATATCTTTTAGTTTTACTTCCTTTGATTTTTAATTCTGTAGTATAGGACTTTTCTCTAATATAATTCCAGCAGCCAAATTGATAAACCTTTTTTGCTCCAGAGTTTTTATTTGGTTCTTCAGTTTCTGATTTCTGGTTTTTCACAATATTATTGAAGATTTTTATTATCTTCTTGTTTGGGCTTTGTTAAATAGGTTTCAATTATTTTGATTCCTTGGATTTGAATTGCTCAAGAGCTTTATTTTAAGATAGTAGTACCAAGATTATAGATAATATATCCAACTGATTATTGAATAATTATTACTAATACAAAGGTCTATTTTTCTAAAAACATCTTCAGTGAAATTCGAATTCTAGATCTGCTACTTGAGGAGTGACAATTTAATCACTACTCTAAATTGACACATTTTATTAAAACAAAAATTAATTTTTTTTATTATTAAAGGTTAAAGATTATAATATAGTTATATAGTGCATATAGTCTAAATCTAACTTTATGTAATCTTTTATAACTATAAAATAAAAAGTTATTACTAATAATATTATAATTAAAATTTTTTTTTTGTAAATTAATTATTTAAAACTTATATTATTAGTTATACAATATGTCACATCTAATTTTTTTTTTTTAAGTTTTATAATTAGCCTCTTTGAACTAAGATTTTTATTCAAATATATAGGTAGAAGGCTCACTTATAAAACCTCTATATATTACAAATGCAACCCAGCTTGTATTATCAGTATATCTTTATCACAATTAACTGTTGAAAGAAGTTTTGAATGCTTTTCTTAGAACCTTTAAACCTAATTAATTCTTGAAGCAGCATCATTAACTAAAGCTTTTTATATCACAATATGATTAATCTAGACTTTGGTAACTTATATAGAGTTTAAGAATAAGTACTTGTAAGCTGTAACTACTATTGTTATTTACTTCTGCCTTTATAAAGTTCATTCAAACTCCAGTGTACACTTTACAGACTATCATTTGTACTTTTAGCCTTTCAAACTTCCAATTCAGATGGTTTAGAAGGGCTGTAACCTGCTTCTGATCTTTATAGTTAAGTCTTTTTCCTTCAATTACTCTTCTAGTAGCCTAGCTGATAAAGTGCTTGTTAACACTTTGGTTTCATTGGGTTTTACTAATTTATTTATTTTTTTTTAATGTTAAGGTGACAACTTTGGAGTCTGGCACGTTTTATTGAACTTTGATTCGAATATCAGGGCAACCTACATGGGCTACCCTGACTTTATTACATTAACGAGGGTACAACTAGCTATATATATAACTTTTGGTTATCTATTTAAGCAGTCTTGCATACGTAACCCATATGAACTACACTAGCTGCCATACCTACAACCCAACTAAGGGGATTATCTATTTAAACCCTCTGATCAACTTAGCGCCGTCAGATATTCTTCTCAAAGAGTAACTGCCGGGAAGGCCCCTTAGAACTTTAAAGCGGACACACACTTCCATATAGGGGGGTCCTTTATCCTCATGATAAACCCACCAGAGTGGTCCATGTCCTACACATATATTACCTAGATTTTTGGTAACTTACGCCTAGGCTGCGGCCAAGTACTTGCGGCTTTTTATCTCCATTATCATTACCTACTCTGTGCCTTTGCAAAGTTCATCCAAACCCCAGCACCCACTTTACGGACTATTAACAGTACTTCGATGCCAACTGTCGGTGCCCTAAACTTCTAATTCAGATGGCCTGGGAGAGACCAGTAGGCGTCCTCTGGTATTCCGAATGAATCCTTTTTCCTTCAGTTAATCTGGTGGCCTGGTTAGTATAGTGCTTGCCAAACACTCGGTCCTCGTTTAGTTTGCTTTCAGTGTCCCGTTCTCCAAATGATAATCCTTTACGTAGTGTTATCGAAAATCTGTGCTACCTCTCTACTCAGGACTTTCCAAGCGGGCTTCCATATCATCCAATCCTTTAGATTTATTTGGCTGCTTTACTCGGATTTTGTGTAACTTATGCATTACACTACATTCCACAACCTTCCAATGCGAGTTGGTGAGACCAAGATTACAGGTGCTGACCCGATCGACATGTCATACAGTTTTAATGTAACACATTTCTGCAAATTCAAATTTCATCGCCAGTGGGATTCGAACTCTTGTCCTGCCGCTTGGGAGTGTAACAACTTACCAACTACACTAAGTCGTCACACCTATTTTACTAATTTTTCAGCTTGATAATCTTTTATATAGTATTATTAAAGATCTGTGCTACCTTTTTACTTGGGTTTTGCTAAGTGAGCTTCTGTATCCTTTAATCTGTTAGTTTTATACAGCTGCTTCACTCAAATTTCATATAATTCATATGTCATACTATAGTTCTACAACCTCCTAGTACTAGCTAATACAACTATATTATAGATGCAGATTCAATATAATACAATCTAATAATGCATTCTGTAAATTCGAATTTTGTTGTTAGTAAGATTCAAACTCTTAACCTGCTACTTGAAATACAACAACTTATCAACTATGCTAAGTCACTACACCCTTATATCTAATTTTTTTTATATATAAAATTATAGCAAAAATATATAAAATTATTTATAAACTTGAAACCTGATAGTTTCTTCCCTTATATATTAATTTTAAATTAAATTTTATAAATAAATATATTAAAAAAAAAATAATAAAATATTTTAAACTGAATTAAAATTTTGTAATTTTTATGCAGAGGATTATATAGACAGTCAGACCAAACATACATGCCAGACTATAGAACCCTTCACAGCTGTAAGAACTGAGCTTAAAATGGCAAGTACAACTACAGAAAAACACTTTTCCAAATCATTATCAATATCATCAAACTCCTATGATTTGGATATGTTTTAACAAATTTCTTACCTATTGTTATATTAGCAAATTTATTAGTCAAATTTATTTAGATTATATATATTTTATTAGGTAATTTTTATTAGTTAAATTTTATTAACAATTTTTATTATATATTTATTATATATTCTCTTAAAATTTATTATATTATTTATATTATTATTGTATATTTTATAGTATTATTAGTTTATTTATATAGTTTATAATATATTTTA